GCAAAGGTTTTGATTCCTTGCATTGACAAATTCAACTTTGAAGTGCAGCATTAAGCTTTAGTCCAGAGCAGGATAAACCAGTGACAGTGATAAAGAAACTGCGTTTACATCCTACTGGCGCAACCCGTGTACAGCTTCCAGATGGTAGATATATAGCTTACCAAGAGCTAGGTGTTTCAGCAGACAGAGCAAGATACTCATTAGTTATGCCTCATTCTTTTCTCTCCTCAAGACTTGCAGGTATTTTATTAGTTTTCTTCAGTTTCAGTTACTTCCCTTTACGTTTAGTGTGTGTGTGCCTCTAATGATTGAAATTACATAATCAAGGCATACCTGGAGTGAAGAAATCATTGCTTGTGGAGTATGGTGTTCGTTTAGTGTCATATGATCTCCCAGGGTTTGGTGAGAGTGACCCTCATCGAAGTCGAAACCTTAGCTCATCTGCCTCGGATATGATTAACCTTGCAGCTGCTATCGGAATTGATAAGAAATTCTGGTTACTTGGCTACTCTACTGGTAGTATGCACGCATGGGCTGCAATGAAATACTTCCCTGAGAAAATTGCCGGTATTAACAATGTTCCTATAAATACATTCTCGTTATTTCTCAGTAGAAAGATGAATGCATTTTAGAGTATTGCTCATTGGGTTTGGATTTGTGAAACTACAGGAGCAGCAATGGTGGCTCCAATGATCAATCCATATGAGCAAAGCATGATCAAGGAAGAGACGGTGAAAACATGGGAGCAATGGCTAACAAAGAGGAAATTCATGTACTTTTTAGCACGCCGGTTTCCAATTCTTCTTCCTTTCTACTACCGTAGATCTTTTCTCTCTGGTAAACTTGATCAGCTCGATCAGTGGATGTCACTATCATTAGGTGAAAAGGTATAAATCTCATCCCATGGTTAGATCAAAAAGCGAGCTAGTTTGCTTCGAAGTCCTCTTGGGGAAACAGAGAGTTCATATTTGCTAACTCTGTTCTTCTTCTTTCAGGATAAACTTCTAATCAAAGATCCAACTTTCCAAGAATTTTACCAAAGGAACGTTGAGGAATCCGTCCGTCAAGGAATCACAAAACCATTTGTAGAAGAAGTCGTGTTGCAAGTAACGAATTGGGGCTTTACTCTTTCTGAGTTCCGCACACAGAAGAAATGTACAACCAATGGTGTCCTTTCTTGGCTCATGTCAATGTACAGTGAAGCCGAATGCGAACTTGTCGGATTTCGGAAACCAATTCACATATGGCAGGTAAATTCTGCACCATACAATACATGGTTTAATTTGTAAACGAACAGTAACGAAACCTAAACTGTCGTATGTATCTTAACATTTTTAATTTGTGCGTCCCTATAAAGGGAATGGAGGATCGGGTTGCTCCACCATCGATGAGTGACTACATTAGCAGGATGATTCCGGAAGCAACTGTACATAAGATCCCAAACGAAGGTCATTTCTCGTTCTTCTTTTTCTGCGATGAGTGCCATAGACAGATTTTCTATGCCTTATTTGGAGAACCCAAAGGCCAGCTTGAGAAAGAGAAAGAAACAAAGGAAACTCTAGTCCAAACAGAGGCACATAAGGGTGACTCTTAAAACACTAGTACTTTACTACAACCACCAAAGAGTAAAGAAGTAAAGAGGTGGAATACTACAGAAATCAAAATTACTTTTCTTTTTTTGTCCCAGATTTTATAGGATTACAAAGCAGAATCTTATTATAGATTGCAAAGGGAATTGGTTCTGAATTCTGATATTACTAAACTGAAGGTGGGAAAAAGGGAATACAGTTATGCAAATTATAAAAGGTTCATAATTTCCTTTTTTAAAAATTATAATATCTTTAGAAACGGAAAGGATATAAAATTATAAAAGGTTCATATTAACTTAGGGTAGAAGTATAAAATACAAGCACATAAACCCTAAACCACACCTCCCAGAATCATATGAATACAATGACGACGGAAGAGAGGAAGAAATCATCAGCATCTCCGTCTACGAATCCTCCTCCTCCGACATCGTTTTCGTCGTTACCAAACGACCTCGTTCTGAACATTTTAGCTCGAATCTCAATAATCCATCGCCCAACACTATCTCTCGTCTCCAAGAGTTTCAGATCACTCATCGCTTCGCCTGATCACTACGCAACACGTTCACTCATCGGAAAAACAGAGGATTCCCTCTATGTCTGCTTAGACCTGAATACACTGCCTCGATGGTTCACTCTTGCACCAACTCCCAAACAACATAAACTGATACCAATCCCTTTGTTTAACTATCAACATCCGAGATATTCAACTGTTGTTTCAATTGGTTCAGAGATTTACGTAATAGGAGGATTCTTAAAGGGAAAGAGAAGCAGAAGAATGTTGGTTCTTGATTGTCAATCTCATCAATGGAGTAGACTCCCTAAAATGCGTGTACCTCGTCAAACTCCAGCCGCGGAGGTAATTAACGGTAAGATCTATGTGATTGGAGGTTGTGGCGATGAGCACGAGAACATTGAGCATTGTGGTGAGGTTTATGACGCAAACTTGGGAGCCATTATCGCCAACAACACTAGATAATCATCTCACAACTCAAAAGAGTGTGGTTCCAGGTAGATTGGTAATGGGTGGAAAAGTTTATGACATGAATGGCTTGAAGCTTAACTTGAAGGAGAATATTTGCTTGGTAGAGATAGACAAGAACGTGTTTTGCCAAATAACTGTTGTTTTCTGTACTTGCCTATATTGGCGTGATGCAAATGAAAATTTGGCGTGGTGTAAGGTGATGGGACTTGAAGAACTGCCATATACTACTAGTTATTCTGTTTCTATGTCAAGTTCGTGCAGAGGAAGAAGATTGGCGATTTGGTCGAAGAATTCGAAGATTTGGTGTACAGAGAGATTTCGTTTGAGAGACGCAAATCACGCAATGTTGAAGAGCTTTGGGGATTCGTTGAATGGTCTAAAATTGTGTTTGACGGCGGATATTACTCTGATTCTGATTTCTATATGTCTTCCGATTTCTTTCTACATTCCGCTCTAGTGACACTTTGATCAATGAGTTTTATTCTGTTTTTCAGAAGAAACAAAAAAAAATTAGTTTTAATTTGCCTTATTTATATTTAGGTTTTTGTACTGGTATTCTTGAGTAATGAATTGCAAAATTATATTTTTTTTTTTTTNTCAAGGTGGTGAGCTATCGATCCATCAGTTGATGATTTGTAGCTTCTGATTTTTCCAAAAAGTTTGGTAGACTCTAAAACTCGCAAGTTTAGGTCTGTCTTCGCCTATATATACTAAACATTTTGTAACAGATTTCTTATCACCAATCTGTTAGTTTAATATCATTTAAAATGTCTTTGCATCTCTTTCAAATTCCACATGTTGATTGATAGTCCGTCGACCAGACTATTTTCACTGCCAAAATGATTGAGAACATTTATAAGTCAGGCTGAGTTTGCAGGGGCCAAATCACTTTTTTCTCTAAGGCCATAGTAAATAATTTGCTCGGCTAAAATAATTACTAAATAAAAAGTATCTTGAAAAGACCATACATTTCTTTTTTTAGTATATTAAAACAATATCACATAATATTTCATACAAGTTCCTAATTAGAAACTTTCTTAATATTTATATTTATAATATATTGGGTATCAATTTGAAGCACATAAAGTCATAAACCCTTAGCCTACACCTCCCAGAATCATATGAACACAATGACAGAGATGAAGAAATCATCTCCTCCTCCGAATTTGTTTTCGTCGTTACCGTACGACGTCGTTCTGAACATTCTAGCTCGTATCTCGAGATTCCATCGTCCAACCTTATCTCTCGTCTCCAGGAGTTTTCGATCACTAATAGCTTCGCGTGAGCTCGACGCAACACGAACACGCATCGGCAAAACAGAGGATTGCGTCTATGTCTGCTTAGACCTAAACCAGAACCAGCGTATTAATCCTCGCTGGTTCGCACTTGCACCAACTCCCAAACAACAGAGATCGGTACCAATCCCTTCGTTTCCTTACGTTTATCCCAAATCACCAACTGTTGTATCAAATGGTTCAGAGCTTTACATAATCGGCGGATACGCTAAACGAAGGACAGGAAGGAGAAGCAAAAGTGTGTTTCTTCTCGATTGTAGATCCCATCAATGGAGTAAGCTCAAGAACATGCGTGTAGGTCGACCAAATCCAGCCGCGGAGGTAATTGACGGTAAGATCTACGTGATTGGAGGCTGCCTGTCCAACAAAAGCGAGGATTGGGGAGAAGTTTACGACATAAAGACACAAACTTGGGAGCCATTATCGCCCGAAACACTAGCTCTCACCGCTCAGAAGAGTGTGGTTCCAGGTAGATTGGTGATGGGTGGTAAAGTTTATGACATGAATGGCTTAGAGCTTAACTGTCGGAAGCATATTCGTTTGGTAGAGATGGACAAGAACGTGTTTTGCCAAATATTGGTTTCTGGTGGGAAACTAATGTGGCGTGATGCAAAGGAAGATTTGGAATGGGGCAAGGTGCTGGGACTTGAAGAAATGTCCACTAATTATTTTGTTTCGATGTCAAACTCGTGCGGAGGAACAAGAGTGATAGTTTGGTGGGAGAAGGATTTGGAGATTTGGTGCGCAGAGGTTTCGTTTGAGAGGTACAGATTTGAAGACCCCTGGGGGATTTGGGAAATAGAGGTGAGTCACCGTTCTGAACAGCTTTGGGGAGTTGTTGAATGGTCCAAAAGTGTGTTTGATGACGAATATGACGCTGTCTTTCGGCATTCTGCTCTAGTGACACATTGAATAAAGTCATTTTGTTTTGTTTTTTCAGAGTGATTTTTAGTTTTGTTGTTATTGTTTTTGAGTTTTTTTTTGTTTTCAATGGTATTTTGACTGATGAATTTCAATTATATACTTTTCTGCTAATGAAAGTAATGCTCGGTTTGATCCGAAAACGTCTTTGCATTGCCGAGACTAGGCTTGTAGTCCAATACCATTTCAACTAGGCAAGAAAATATAAGTAAATAGTTCAAAATTTACAATTGGTTTTAAGTGTTTTCTGTATTTGAAAAAAGCTAATCAAAACAAAACCGTAAACTT